GACAGACGTGCCGAGCTAGCGCCTGACGGGGCACCTGCTGCCGGTCCACCATCCGGTACATCGGTTACACTGCTCCGCTGGTGCACTCGATCCTGCAGTTTCCGGGCAGACGCCTTTGATCACAACAACAGTAGGCATTTACAGGTACAGGTGCGGATATCAAGCAACAACCTTACTGTGCAGACAGTCTACTGGGAAGAATAGATACCGGCACTCACTCAGTGTGCTCACAGCTGCACTACTGTACTCTGCAGACCCTACAGGGGAGTAACATATTATTATTATACTGTGTGTGCTCACAGCTGTACTACTCTAGTGCCCAGTGCACACTACAGCAGTCAGCATTACAACGGCCGTTCATCGGTCGCATTGCACATCTGACATGTAATGTGCGCAGAGGTACAGGTGGTGGCAGTGTACATGTGCAAACTTTTGGCAATACCTTCGAGCTTACTCTATTTCTTTTCGCCTGGTCTTGCTCTTGTTGCTGAATATTGAACAGCACACAAGCAGATACACATACCCCATGCATGCACGCACACGCACATGTACACACACACACACACACACACACACACACACACACACACACACACACACGCACGCACGCACACACACACACACACACACACACACACACACACATACGCATACGCACACACACACACACACACACACACACACACACACACACACACACACACACACACACACACACACACACACACACACACACATACGCACACATACACACTTATATGCTGGTATACACCCCAGAATTACACAAAACAAACTCTGTAGGCTGTACTACGGTTGGGTGAGTATCTACAACAGAGGTCTAGTATAGGTACATGGAGTCATAACTTATATGGCAACACACGGCATATATGCAGAGCATGATAACGCAACTATGCATGCCGTGTTTGCATCACACAGAATGACCACTGAAAAGTGACTGTGGAAATGTGTCATGTCCTTACCTTTCTCCTGCTAACAAGTTCTTCCTGGCGTTTGCGAGCGCGTCTCTCCTCTTCCCTGCACACATCCAGGACAGGTACATGTAACGTTGGACACAGTCACGGGAAGCCAATACATGCACTCTATCACACAGATGTGTGAATGTTTGATCTTTGTTGAGCAACAATCAAGCAACATAGACGAATATAGACACACATGCACACACACACACACACACACACACACACACACACACGCACACATCTCTGGTACCGTAGCATACATTGCTATGGACACATCACAAGCCACTCAACAATTCCGTCTCTGTCTGGCTAAAATTGAACTGCAGGATGTAGATATAGAGGTAAGTCAGCATGTCTGTACTCCTTCTCCCAAGATGTACCGCCGCTTGCTGCAAGCCTTCACTGTCGTGTGCTTATCCATTGCTCGGTATTGTTCTTCTCCTTTTTGTTTTACACTGGCCCCAGCCAAATACTACATACATACAAATACATGTACATGTAAATGCGGCTTACTTTTGTTTTTCTAGCCACTCCATTTCCAGTCGCTTCTTGGTGGTCATCTTTGCGGAGATCTAGGAAGGGAACGGAGCGCATCGAATTTACACACACATGCACACATGAACACGCGTACACACACACATACACACACACACACATACACACATGCACACGCACGTGCACACACACACACACCAACCAAACTAAATACCACGAGACAGATCACCATGCATACTACCCCGCCATGACTCAGACATTTGCTATGCATTGCTGGGCGTAAGCAACACATACACGCACATGGATGAAGACCGAGACCACCTGTGAAGTGTAAAAAAAATTGGGGCATTTTGTGCACCATGGGGGGGGGGGGTACTAAACACGGGCACTTTACTTACCTCTTGTGCGGACGGCTTGACAGCAGCAGAAGGTTTGCCAGCTGCAGGACGAGATGTAGCGGAGGACGTGGCGGTGGATGGACGAGCAATTTTCGGCGAACTCGACTTTGAAGTTCCAGTCGCCTTCGCCACTTGCGGCGATTTCTTCGTTGCGGTTGTAGTGGTTGTGCTGGTGGTAGGTCGTGTTGATTTCGTACCAGTTGTCGATGATGTAGTCGATGGTCGCTTTATTCCAGTGGATGCTCCCACACGTCCCGTACTTGGACTGGCCTTTGATGTACCGGGACGATTGGCAAGGACTGGGGACTTTCCCGTCGTCTTCGGCGCGCCCGTGGATAGGGGTTTTGTTGATTTGACGGCGCCCCGAGGACTTGAGCTACCTGCAGTCTTTGTTGGCTTGGTTGCTGTTGATGCTGTGGCTGTGCTAGTGGTGGTTGCCGGGGTTGTGCTGCTGCTACTCGCAGTGGTAGTTGCGGATGTTGCACTGCTGCTGCTGCTGGTGGTGGTGGTGGTAACAGGCTTCTTCTCCACGGCAATGGGGGACAGCGTTGGCGCGGCGATTGGAGAGGCCGAGCGGCGATCAGTCGTCGGTGAGGAGGTCGGTGTGGCGTCGTCGGCTTCGCCGTTCAGTCCCGGAGCGTCAACCGGTAGCGGTTCAAGCACAGCATAGTCGTGCTGTAACATACAGGTGAAGTAGCGCACAAGACTTAGAGTTAGACAAGAGTACTTGAGTAAGTAGTGTGAGATTGCAAGTGACCAATACTGCCGACCACGTCATTACACAAGGTGATTGCTGTAAATATGATGTACATGTATTGTTTTCCTGTGTGATGACATTCCCCAAACTGTCTTCGTCTAGTCGCGTGAATGTGATCATCATGTTCCACCCCAACGGCCGAAAGATATCCATTCAGTCATTAAGTAAGGCACTAACTTATGAACAACAATCAACCCGGCACCATCACACGACACATTTCAGTGAAAGGATACTCAGTGGACCTTGAGCTGTTGCGAGTGCTTGCCATATGCATGTGACCTCCCTGAATTGTGCAAAGACACGTGAGCCTTCAAGACGGGTGTTCAGCATGGTGTAGTGAACATGTACCTGGCTAGGAAGTCCATCTACAACAACATACACTCATACCTCGTGTATCCGGGCGGTCCGGGACCGGCCACTGCCCGTAACTTTGAAATATCCGTAACTCCGTATCACACACATTGTGATGCGGAAAGGCAATAGATAATTATAGCATGCGACGTCACTATTTCCATAACAAAAGTGACAAAAGAGTAGTAATATTTCCACTGAAACTCGCCCGGAGGGTGCCCGGTAGACTGAAGTGTCTGTACTGAGCTCCGGGGTCCGGATAACCGAGGTATGAGCGTATATACAAAATATCAACAGCATACTACAACTTACAAGCACAGAAATCCAAGCATCAAAATTGCCGAAAGTGACCCTCATCCTTCATTGCAACCATGTTGTGCTTGCAGCAACTAGACCATGCTAAACAAACTACTCACCGATACTGGAGGTCTGGGTCTCTCTGGCGCCTTGGTAATTGTTATGCTACCTCTACTTGTACCGGCGGTGGGTGCTACACCAGTCTGAGAAGCTGCCCCGGGCTTGGCATTGGATCCCCAGCTCAACCCATGCTTGTTGGCAACGCTGGCCACTTCTTCCTCCAGCGAGCGGCTGGCACGTGGTGATGGATTGTGACCTCGGGCAGTGCTGTATTGAGAAATATGCAACCAAATACACACACACGTGCAAGTACATACACATACACACACACACACACACACACACACACACACACACACACACACACACACACACACACACTGCATGTCAAGCCTGGCCAGATTGAACGGGCCTTTGGAACCGAAAAAAGATCCAACACTGCCACCAATACGTATGGATAAATGACAACTCTGTTTTGCAGCTCTACAAAATAAATATGAGCCAGGAAACTCAAGTAAAGCATTTGCCTCCTGTCGAACTCCTGGCAAATGTTGTACTTCTTACAAAGACCCTTCAATATAGTCTACTGGTATGCTGACATGCCTTAACAGCGAATTCTGGCTTGAGTCTAAAAACCATCTTGAAGGAATGGAAATCTTTTGATCTGGTTGATCAAAAGGCACAGATCTCTCAGAACTCAATGCTCCGAAACAGTTTTTCCTTCAGCATCTTGAGTGGCAAACTGCCTTCACCGACCACCATACCTTGCTCCTTTGGAATCTCGGTTGCGATTCCGCATGGCTCTGCTGTCACGCTTAGCAAGTCGCCTTAACCCGTCATCCTTGCCGTTCACCTGAGACATACCAATCAGACAGATTTTTTAACAACTCGTGTGTTCACCAGTGGAAATGGGATATAGATAGATAGATAGATAGATAGAGAGAGAGAGAGAGAGAGAGAGAGAGAGAGAGAGAGAGAGAGTGATTGAGTGAGTGAGTGAAGTAGCTATTGTCCTCCCAACACGACTGGTTCATCTGATCAGAATAGATTCTAACACCCATGACACATACTGCAGAATTAGAGGTAGCCTACAGGGCATTCAAATGGGACAGGGAGTAACATTATCATGCTGAAAACCCCCCGCCCCATAACACGGACACCCTGAGACTCACCCTATCCAGCTCCTCCTTGAGGTACTTGAAAATGTGAACTCGGCCACGAATGCATATCTGAAAACCACACCATCAGGAGTGGAAAGAACACATCAGGAATAGTGCTTTTTTAAAACCTTGGCCAGTGTCAATGCAGGCTAAATGCAGCCGGTAGCTCTCTGAGGAATGTAAATGCCCAGTCTACAGTCTATTTCAAAACTAGACGTGTACCTAGGCAAAAACCGTTATGCCAGCATCTATACCACATAAAATCTGTGATCACTTTGTGCATCTTTTTTTCCAAATTGGGCGTCTGTTATCCAATCGTTTAGAAACTATATGAGAGTTATTGCGGAGCGGTCCTGAGCAATATTCCGAAAACTATTCTCAAAAAGTTCCAGCCAAATTTGAAATATTTCAAAAACCCTACACGTCTATAGTTTTGAAATGGACTGTAAGTTAGATCATGTACATACACAGGTGTAGAACAAGAGCTGGGTACATACAATATCGACTTGGAATGCAAAACCACGGCTTTGCTTTGCATCAGTACCAGCGGGAGCATTCCCTTACGCTGACGCGCAATATACATGGCGAAGGCAAGAAACCTACTGGCTAAGCCATGACAGCAGCAGTGACAAACCATTTAGCAGCAGTTATCGGCAGCACAGCACCAACATCAGACATAACAGTGGTCCCAGCAGCAAGAGCAGCAATAGAAGCACCGGCAGGTTCAGATTATCAGAGATGGAAGCATCAGTAGCTGCACCATGAACACAATTCCTTACACTGGTCGGTGGAAGCACGAGAGGGTTGTCGTGAAGGATGAGAGTCATGAGCGACATCATCTTTATCATGGACAGCGGCAGCTGACTGACACGATTCACGGAGATGTCCAGACGTACCAGCTTCATGGCGGTCAATGCTGAATAGAAGTAACACGGCACACCACACGTACATGTACAACACTAACTAAGTCTTCATTTCACATTCGTTTGTCATTGGCAGTCGTTTGACGAGCCAGGAAATGTTGAATAAATACAAACACAAAAACACTTCAAACAAAAGACACTGCACACTCAAGCACAACATGGTCGCATAGCCAACACTGGCCTCGGTTGAACCATTGTAATGTTGTCACGTGCAATGAGCTGTGACGCATGAAGTACTGGCGGGCGCCAAAGAACGGAGCACCAAAGGCCGACCAGCCTGGAGTTCCACAGCATACCAATGCATACCGTGACTCAAGTATGCATAAACTGTAGTACATGAAAATAAGAATGGCCTGGGCTAAAGGGCTGACACCCCATCCCCAGTTCTTCGTCGACCGACAGTACTGTAACACCATATTGATATATTAGTCTGATGAATCCTGTTACACAGATAACTCACTTTCAGGAAGCTCAGTAAGGTGGTTGCGACGGACATTCAGGTCTCGAAGATTGATCAGCTGACCAATGCTGTCTGGAAGCAGCGCTATTTCATTGCCGCTCGCATCCTACATCATTGCACAGCCACAGGATACAAGCAAAAGACAGTTACTTCGAAGTACAGTAAAACCTGTAACTAAAGACCACCATGACTAGCGACCAGCCTGGTACTACAGACCACTGCTTCAGGCACAGACGGTCTCACATTCATACATGGCTGTGCGGTGCAAACGTCTAACTAAAGACCACCTGCCACTAAAGACCGCTTTCTCTGGCCCCAAGCCAAGGGGTGGTCGTTAGTCTCAGGTTTTACTATAGTTGCAATACTGGCACACGGCGCTGCTAGCAGCTTCAGTGCTGCTCGATGAAATCCAATCTCGTGAGTCTCGTTTCCACCCTGCAGCATTCCTCGGCCCAGTGTTCCCAGGTCTAGGGCTGCACAGCGCCCGGGGTGTACTCGACTCTCTCGATCAGATTTTATTGAGCAGCTCTGTAGCACATGTACCATGCTGTGTTCGACGCATTCACTGATGGTGAAAATGGCACAAAATCACTCCAGACTAGTGCCCGCAAATTATCTCAATTAAGTCACGCCAGTGGGTGTAACAACAGGCAACAATCGGTTCATGGTCGGAGATAAAATTGGCATCCGTGTACATGTACATGATTGTATAGGCCAAACCCATTGAAGGCAAGCATGACGTGTGATTCACACATGTGGCCAGTACGCCATACCAATCTGCACAATCTAGTGGCTTGGTGAAAACATCTACACTTGCATCAACTGAAGTTTGCCATTTTAAATGCCTAACATTTAATACGGCAATAAAACTAGCCTGCGACCTACCAGATCCATCAATGACGAAAGATCACTCATTTCCTCTGGCAGCGCGTACAATCGATTGTGGCTAATGTTGAGCGTCTTGAGTGGTAACCTCCATATGTGCAACGGTAGTTCAGATATATGATTACGGCTGCATTCAGAAGAGTGTGTGGGTCAGACGCGCACACATGCACACACAGAGGAACAAACACAAATAGGCAAACGCGTTTCAAAACAAAGGTGCGTGATATCAAAAGGTATACCTGGTTGACCAACATGAAGGCAAGATTACATAGTGTGCCGTTGATCTTTGACATTTACACAGCTACAGAGATCGTGTTTGAGAGGGGGGGGGGGGAGCTAAACATTGCTGTGGACAGAAACAAAAATAATGTCAAACGTTGTCAAATAGACACCCTATACACTCATGAAGTGTAACATACGAGCAATAACTGGAAGCATAGGAAACAGCCATTTAACATCATGCACTGTTAGAGCATGGACCGCTGCCAAGCAGTCACCTGTGGCCACAGAGACAAGGATGAACGGAAGCCAACCAGGCTAAGCAACCTACCTTAGATCAAGATGGACTAGGGACGTTAGGTTGTTCAAATTCGGAATCGTCCGTAGTACATTGTTGTAGCAGACCAGTCTCTCCAGGGAAAACATGCAGTTTGTCAACTCCGGTAGTTCCACAAATCGATTTTCTGACAAGTCTGTAAGACGATGCAACACACGCAGGGAATTGGGCAGGAGTTTAGTGGACAGCAGAAGTTGGATGCACTAGATTAGGTTCATACTAAAAGTGCCAGGTATACCAGACCCTTGCAAAATCATGCATGATCCGCAGCAATGCTCTGTGTTATCCATAGATTAAATGTGCCAGTGGTCGTCTAGCATTAATTTTGTCATTTCATATTCCCTTTTAGCAGTATACAGGGTGCTGCAAAAGTGTTGATCCCCCCATGCATACCCCTAAAGTGTGCTGCAACATGCACGGACTATGTACTGTAGGGGAAACCCCTGTTGCCATGGACAAAATGAACCCTGACCATGTGCACCGAACATTTTTGGTCCAAAATTCTCAGTTTGCTTTGAGTTTTTTCAGGGTTTTTTCACTAGAGAAAGTACAGTGCTGCTCAATGAAATCTGATTGAGACAGTCAAGTACGCTCAGGGCGCGCTGTGCAGCCCTAGACCTGGTAACACTGGGCTGTGAAAAGGGGCAGGGCAAGAACTTTCCCCGCTCGTTTGGATTTCATTGAGCAGTATTGTCCGTATAGGAGACATAATCAATCGTGCTCCATCAATCTTCTCCAAATGCAAGCTGGCTCTAAAAGGGGTGATGACGAGCCCTCGCAAAGGGTTGTTAGAATACATACGTGCCACCATCTGTTTTTGTATATTTAAAAAATCTGGCATCACGCTCATGAAGCTGCACTGAATGATAAACACAATTGTCAGCGCTGTTAGGTGACACTCGATGGCTGCATTTCACGTGGCAGCTTTTTTCTGGGAAGTGTTAACATGACACGCTTCCTAAAAATGCTATCATAATAATTATTGCCCAGCAGTTCAGTGTCATGTTCAGCTGGTTCTGCATGTGTTAAAGCTTGGCTGCTGAACTGTGCGCCGAAGCACACAGCACACAGTCCAGCAGTTGACTGTACCACCCTAACATACCTTCTGGCATCCCTGCTTTTCTTACCCTTTCTCTCCTGTGCCGGTGAACTAGTATTAACCCATACCGATCCATCTCTCCAACGGTCTCTTCTCTGCGAACAACTAACTTTACACTGTTCACGGCAAAGAGACCGTTGGAGAGGGGGGGGGGGGGGAAAGAGAGAAAGATGGGGTGAGAGAGAGAGAGAGAGACAGAGAGAGAAAGAGAGAGAGAGACAGAGAGAAAGAGACAGAGACAGAGAGATGGGGGGGGGGGGGCGAGAGAGAGAGTTATGAGTAGCACGCAAACGGCTGCATTTGACTTTACGGATAATGTGCGAAATATTAATTTGATACAGAATGACCTTTCAATCGCCGACTTGTCTTATCAGTTGGGGCTCATCTTCTAATCATTGAGCAGCTCAACAAATATTTTGCTTTCTTCAGACACATCTACACTTTTAACAATTATACGATTACTTCTTACTCAAAAGCAGATTTGTGTGTTTTGTTTTTCCCATGTGGTCAATGATATCAGTCCTTCTCATCATTCAAAATCAGCCATTCGTGACAATAATATTTAACCGCTCTGTGTCCGTCACTCGTCGAAGCGAGCAATGACATTAGTTCGTACTGAGTGTTTACAGTTAGTAGGGGGAAATAATCAATTTAATATCCTCAGGACACTTCCTTGCATTTCGGTGATGGTTGTTCGCTGCGTGGCGCACCTCGCAAACATGCTGTAACAGCCACAACTCCCAAGGCTCTAAAAGCAAACGCAGATTGTTGCTCGGTCATGCATGTGAGTGACTGACTCACGGGGACTGTAGCGAGCACACCTCCAGGACTTATTTTCGACTCCCGCAAAGAACAGGTTTAGTTTGCCAAACCGTGCAGTCTGTCGCACGCTGCCTGCAGCAGCACCACCAGCGCACGGGCCAGCATCAAAAGACTTCCCCCGCAGACAACCAATACACGCGGTAACAAGTACAAAGTACCAGCAGCCTGTATCGAGCACCACACTGACTCTCACCCATTTCTATCACGTCCGAAAGATCGAAGCTGGACGCAGTTGGAGGAAAGATCGATATCTTTCTACCGGCCAGATGAAGATGACCCGTCTCTTCCGCATCTTCGAGCAGTTTGTCCACAGGCACATTCAGTGTGCTGGTTGTGGATCGCTCGGGCATTGCTACAGGCTATGTATCAGATCAACCAACTGGAATTAGAGAAACCTAACAAATCACGACAATGTTTCTGAGACAAACAATTATTTTCCACAATTGAAGTGCTCTAGTACATACTAGTAGTACTGTCTGTGGACACTACATGTCCGACAATGCCCCAGCAGTAACAATCAGAACGCCAGGGGCTATCTCGCACCTCTGCTGGTGTATTTCTAGTAGTAGTCGTTCGCGGCCATGACCAGTGTGAAGTGCTACTATCTACGCAACAATCGTCCTAGAACGAACATTTTCCAAAGCCTTACTGTTACTTCTCAGCCGGCCGAAGGGCGACAGGACGCTGAGCTACTTCAACGCCTTCACGACCTCAACCTGGAGTAAAAGCTGTGCCAACGACTCTACATTGTTCATTTTGTTGTGTAGATTTGTACGGTCAGTGGATCTACCGGCAAGACTGCAGAATCAGTGCTGAGTCGTGGTAGTAGTAGACCGTCTGTGTAGTATGTAGCTAGGTGCGCTAGTAGTAGTAGTTGTTTAGATAAATTTTAGTGTCAACGAACAGGGTGATACTGATAAACCAACTATACAGACCACAGGCACAGTCCAGTATGGATGGTACTTGTTAGGCTCAGCTGACGCATTGCCATTGGCATTGGCGGCATGAACACCTAGCCCGCCGATATGGCGATTATCATTTTGACTTGTCGACATATCCTCGACCCAGACTTGCGGCGCTGCATCCGCTACATACTAGTCGCAGTCATAACACAGCATAGTTACTTGTGTAAGTGCCATCGCTTGGACAGCTCCTTCACAATCACAGCAGTAAAGTGTGTAAGTGACTACATGACCGTACATGTACATGTATGTGTGTCGAGCTAGCTCACGATGGGCCATTTCTACCATTCTAGCTATTCACATGCACAATCATTGGACATGTAGCGACTAATACTAGTAATAGCGACTAATGAGTAATGTGTAGCTACAGTCGACCTACCCTTACAATACTTCTTGGTCTGACACAAATATCAGTATTATTGATATTTGTGTCAGACCAAGAAATATTGTTATAAGGGTACCGTAGAATCCCGCGGATAAGCCCATGGGCTTATCTGTTTCACAAGGTGACATTTCGGTGGGCTTATACGAGAACATGGGCTTATACGCCGACACCAAGTTGTGCTATTGAAAAGTATCAAGGAAGTGAGAAGTACATTGCTGAAAACCACTGTGCAAACAAAAACAACCGATGATTGTGCTGAAATGTACGAAAAAACTAAATGTGCATGTACTACGTACATGGTATGGCCAAGAGTCCATAATTTATGGACCCTCGATATGACCTAGGCCCATGGGCCTTTACGATGAAGCTTTGTGATGTTCGAACTTTCCCTGGGCTTATGCGCGGGCATGGGCTTATACGCGGGTGGGCTTATCCGCGGGATTCTACGGTAATACATGTATTGTTATAGGGGTAACTGGTTCATTCCATACACATACGTCATAATGCATGGATTTATTCATTTTTTACACTCTTCATAGCTTAAAAACTTTTGTACATGCACATTATGTACACAACAAGGTACCCACTGGTGCCCCCATTGCATTTCGTCATGTCCCAGCGACTTATCAAGTGAAGCTTGCCCTACCTGGATAGTGGGCTCTACATATTCCCTGCTAGATATTGTTATAAAATGAAAAATGTCGATTGGTCAGCTCGCTTGATATCAATATAGGGGTATTATATAATATCGTTATTTAATATAGCAATATTGTTATAGGGGTAAGGCGTTGTATACACAAGTCAATGGAGTGGTTTGGTTTGACAGAAAAATGTCGTTATAAGGGTAACATCGTTATAGCGGTTATCGTTATAAGGGTAGGACGACTGTAGCTATCATGAGTCTAGCTACACTAGTCACATGACTGTAGCTATCATGAGTCTAGCTACACTAGTCGACATGACTGTAGCTATCATGAGTCTAGCTACACTAGTCACATGACTGTAGCTATCATGAGTCTAGCTACACTAGTCACATGACTGTAGCTATCATGAGTCTAGCTACACTAGTCACATGACTGTACAGTCATGTACATGACATTGTGCAATCATGTAGCTGATCACTGCAGGTGCAACAACAATTTTAGTTATTTCAGTTTACATGTCTGACTGCGAACTGTTTCATGCTGTGATAGAGAACATTAGTATCAACCCCAACAATAGGCTTTCCCCAAATCGGCCGGCCGAAAGATACGCCGAAAACGAGATTTATCGAAAAATCACTAAGCTTTTCGCCGATTTTGGAGGGCTCCTTTGTGAATAGCCGAAAATCTGCCAAATGTTGTTGCAAATTGCGTTTACGAACCAATGATGTTTCTGCAAGCATGACGGCTCGAGCTCTCTACTTCAGTACTTGTAGTACTAGTGTGTTGAGGTCTTGTGACTCGTGTCCTTCGACATCCTCTCAAAGTCTCAAACAAACATTCGCCATTAGGAAGATCATTAGTTGATAATCCAAAAATTGGCCGGCCGAAAATTTGCCGAAAACGAGACTTAATAGTTATTGAAAAATCGCTAAGCTTTTCGCCGATTTTGGAGGGTTCCTTTGAGAATCGCCGAAAATCTACCAAATCTTCCAATATCTCACCAATTTTGAAGCAAATACATGTATGTCAACAATTATTTTACCCAATTCTCCAATATATTCCAATTTTGCAGCCGATTCGCGAACAATCAGCTGATTTTGCAGCCGAATCTGATGTGTTCTTGAGCCAAGCGAAAAGCTGAATAGGCAGAAAAATGGCCGATTTTGGGAGAGGCTACAATCCTGCATGACACAAAATGGACGCGTTCGATAAGACATTCTGCACCCAGATACATGTATATAATTCTCGAATGACCAGAATGATCGAATCGCGGCGATGTATACGAACGACAGGAATTCCTCGCTGCATTCCTCGTGCCATACCACATAAAAATCATCTTTCTTTAATTTAATAAAAACTAAGGGTGTCATCAGGTAGTAGGGTACCCGTGCTACCCGTAATTGGAGTGGGTAGTAGGGTAGGAGTTTGCTCCTGAGAACCTGATCGGGTAGTTGCATGGCGTACGGTGTTTTTGCAATGGTGCAGTGTGAAAAGCACAGCTACACGCATACTGTACACTTCCTATGTAGATGTTGTTGGTTTGACAGCATGAAACAAGGTGGAGGACACCGTGTTCGGAAACAGTGACCTTACTGCAACCATCCACGGTTGGTAGAGCCCCGGTCCGTTGGGACCATCTGAACCGTATGGGTTAGGCTTTCCCCAAATTGGCCCGTTTTTTTCGCCCACTCGGCTTTTCGCTAAGCTCAAAAATACATCAGATTCGGCTGCAAAATCAGCTGACAAAAATCTGCTGCAAAATTGGAATATATTGGAAAATCGGCGGAAAGAATTGTTGGCATATTGGCTTCAGAATTGGTGAGATACTGGAAGATTTGGTAGATGTTCAGCGATTCTCAAAGAAACCCTCCAAAATCGGCGAAAAGCTTGGCGATTTTTCGATAAGTTTCCTTTTCGGCGAATTTTTCGGCCGGCCGATTTGGGGATTTTACTGGTAACAATCTTTCTAATAGCTTTATGTTTATTTGAGAGGAGGTCAAAGGACAAGAGTCACACGACTTCAACGCACTAGTACTATAAGTACTCGGAAGTGGAGAGCTCGAGCGGTCATGCTTGCAGCAACATCATTCCTTCGTAAACGCACTTTGCAACAACACTTGGTAGATTTTCGGCCATTCTCAAAGGGACCAAAATCGGCGAAAGGCTTATAGGCTTAATCAACATAACGTCATTGTTAGTCTATCAAACAAGACTTGTACCAGTGTTAGCCTTTGATAGAATTTGGTACCGTTTTTTTCAGGCTGGTATTATTTCAAAATGTTAGAAAATTAGAGGCCACATGCCTTCTTACTGCTCTTTTCTCTCCGAAACTCAACACTTGCAAGCCAGATACGAAAGAAAGAAAAAAATCATCAGTCACACCACCGGGACTCGAACCAGGGACCTTGCTAGTCGCGAGCAATGCTCTAACCAACTTTTTTTTAAATATTTCATGCATGTTGGGTGTGTTCTCAAAGGGTAAGCAGCAGCTTTTGGCCTGTTCATCAATAAAGTAATTACACCTCCTCCATGTGCGCTTTCTGGCCGACCTTAGTTACACCACTTGGACTTTGGAGTCATGTTGCAGGTGTGAGGTCGGCCTGAGAGCACACGTGGTGGAGATGGAATTGGTTGTTCATGTTTGGCATGTGAATGAAGAAATAGAGCAGAATTGGCAGGGAAGTGCGTGCCATAAGATTTGTATGATCCTGCCAATTTCACTCAGTTCGCGGCTTTTCAAGCAGAATCTGCCAATTGTTTTAGAATTATCCGCCGGGGACTAACCAGTGTGGCTACATCTACATGTGGCTATCTGCAAAGTAAATCAAGAGTCTGATGAGTGATGGTAAAAATGCAGGACAGTTAGTGTAACCAGGGAGTAGTAATTTTACTACTCCCTGGTGTAACTAGAGTGTTACTGTACTGGAAGTAAGGTGATCTACTCGGTATTTATGGTGAAAAAAGGAGAAGGACAAAATGTTACGAGTTATGACTAACTCTCCACCAACGTAACCAGATCGTATACAGTCAACGAGTGCGACAAAATGGCACAAAACTGACAAGGAGTACTGAGACATTCAGTTAGTCGTAACTCGTAACAGTTTGTCCTTCTCCTTTTTCCCCATAATCTAATTGGCTCACCATCCTTTTGAATTTTACTACTTCGAAGTAGGCATTTGTTCGCAATAACGGGCGTTTTAACTCGGATGAGGATTGAGGCGGGATCGAAAGGCTCACGGCATCAACGTCGGCCACTCTAACTGTGACACTGCACTGACACGGCGAGCTTTTCACTGCGGAGAACACTCATTTTTTGTGTGCCCCTCCCCCCCCCCCCCCTCAGGTTACATTGGACGCACGTTCGCCGCGGATTACACAAATTCCGTCGTCACAATCGATGGCCCGTCGATTCTGAAGAGAGAGGGGAAGTTAATTCTCCCATCAGAATTTACGCACTCGATGTACACTTTTTTAGTGCCCACGTGTACTTGCCTGTGTTTTTTTCAGGGGGCAACAGGTAGGGGTTTGGTCAGCTAGCGAGTTTGGGTATTTCTACACGGGTAGCACGAGTACCCTATCGGGTGCTTTTGATATAGTGTGTACAGTGGGTGTGCACTTGCGCTATATAGAAAGTAATAGATAAACCTTGTTTTAGTGCACACATGTTGTTGGTTGACAGCATGACTTTGGGTCATCCTAATAAAGTTATTATTATTATATGAAACAAGGTGGGGGACACCGTGTGGGGAAACAATGACCTTACTAC